TTTTTTTTTTTTTTTTTTTTTTTTTTTTTTTTGAATAGACATATCAGTATGAATATTATTTATTGATCATATCTTCCTACTTGGACAATGTTCTTGTCAGAACTGTTATGCTGTTTGATCTGTTAATAACTGCGTTAAAAGTTCCATAATTTTTATGTCTCATCGCTGCGTTTCATTCGTTTTTGATGTTTCTGTTTGTGGTGGCTTGAAACGATAAAGTGTTTATCGATAACGCTGTCCATTTTAGTTTATTTTCGTACTGCAACAATAATTACAGTAATAACTGTCTTCACTCAGTAACTTAGACATGTCAGTTGCGTCACGTAGTTAAATTGCTTGGATTTTACCTTTGCTACTTTCAATTGAAGAACAGTGGCGGTTACAGTGTGAACGAGAAGGGGTAAGCTTTCGTTTTAGTAAGGATTAAGGTTGTCCAAGTGCAGGTGAAATGGTATTAATGCGCGGATCTAACACAACAAGTATGACTTGGAGAAATGTGTTCACTTGTTTGGTCCTCAAATAAAAGTTGCGGTACATTTTGGTCCCGTCGGCCCTTGGGTTTTTGGAGTTGTGAATTGTTCTCAGACAGAAGTTGATTTTCTCGGTACTTATACGCAAGTTTTGCTTGGGGGTTCTGAGCACGGCATTTTTACAGGGTAATACTGTTCACAGGTCGGGCTCTGCCATTATATTTGATATTTTTCTTGGCGCATTTTTAAGTGAAGTTGTGGCTACTTTTAGGAGGTTGTTCTATTGAGTGCTAAAAGGAGTTATTTGATAAAACTGCAAGAAGGAAGAAGTTGCCGGGAAAAACAGCAGAGTTTTAAGTGTTTGGTTTAGGCCAGCACTGATGGAGACAGAAGAGGAAGAGAATAAAAGATCAATAGAAGAAAGAAAGAAAAAGGTAATGCTTTTTAAAAGTCTTGCTGAAATTTGAAGTAATGAATTTAAAAGAAAGTATGTCATTATTGTTATTGCTTTATTTTTTTTTTTTGCCCGTAGCAGATTATAGTTCTTAAAATGAAATTTAGGTTTTTGCTTATTCTGAGGCTGATCTAAAGGAACTGCCATATCGTCGAGCATCAGCAGCAACTTTTATTTTCATTGTCTTAGTATTTGGAATACCACTATGGTGGCGTACCACTTCGACATATCGTGTTTCCTTTGCGAACTTTCCTGAAGACCAGCATATATTTATTCCGGTTTGAGTATAGCTATTCTTATCTTCCGTAGAAACACATCTAACAGTTTCATTTATTATTAAGACTGTTTACATGACTTTTATATCGACATATTTTATTAATAAGACCTCCCAGTCATTAAGGGAAATCGTTTTTAATAATTGCTTTTTTAACCACTTCTGCGTGCTTTTTTAAGGTCTACCTTAAAATTGCCTGCATCAATTGTTCGCTAAAAGGTAAACTAAATGATGTGTCATCTAACCTTGTAGAAGCTTTAGAAGACCTTCCCAGGATTGAGAAGCTCATTCTAGAATACAAAACAGAATTGTTTTTTGTAGTAAGTCGCTGTCCTTTATTGCTCACAAACACCCAATTTTTTTACCTTTTACTCTTTCATTTTACGCCGATCTTTTTTGTCGTTTAGGGTATTGCAGCATCAAAGTTCTCTTTTAGGATTCGGAGCAACAGCTTTCTGAGCTAGTTACTGACGATGGTAAATTCAGTATCTACGTGGCTGTGGTTGAGGAGGCTAGCTGGAACTTTTCTGATGCTGTAGTGTATTTTAGCTCTAAATCGTGGGCTTTCATAAAAAATCATTCTGATAAGGAACTGCTGCTTCAACGAATGCTTTCCAGTGTGGCAGATGTATTATTGGATGTTGGGCATCTTTCAACAATTATCAGAAGAGACTTGAAAAAGCGTATGGGCCCATTAGAGTTTGCAGCTTTACCGATTAATCACCAAGTCCGTCTTGATGAAACTTTTAGATAGTTGTTTACTCACTGGAACGCTATAATGAATTATCTTTTTTTTTTTCAGAAAAGGCTTGTCTGGGATTCAGCAGCGTTGAGTGCAAAGTACATCGTTCATATTATATTTATTGATCTAGATGGCTGGAGTTTGGAAAGAAACCAAGAATTGAAAGATGCCGTTTTGAATGTTCGTAGATTTGCTACTAGAGTATCAGCAGTTATTAATGTAGAAGTCAGCACTGAAAATCTTTGGGATTTTAGCCTTTCTCCATGGTTAATAACCGATAACGAGGAAAAGAGCTTTATAAAAGTCTCTGATGTTTCAAAAATTATTACTAAGGTTAGTGTACACTTTGCTGGTAATTGTTGAGATAGAAATATGTATGAAAGTTGTGCACATTTCCGTTTAGGTTGATCAACAGACGAGTACTGTGGAATCTTCCGCTCCTTTACTAAAATTGGTGGTTTTTAAGAGCAAAAAAAAGATCTCACTTGTCGATCATACCGTAAGAAATTACTGCTTTCAAATTATATTTTTCTGTGTCAAGGGATTTAGGTTTTTATAAAGGATGCATTTGAAGTCATAGTATTTCCAGGGCTCTGAAAATGGTGCTCTAGCTGTCGCATCATGGGGATGCGTTACTTTCACGGGTGGAAAAATGACTGTCAGCCAGTCTTTAATTGGCGCGTTGCGAGTTCTGCTTGGTCTGGACACAGAACTGCCTTATTCGACAGGTCGTTACCCATCGCCGATTGCTGACTGGGAGTTAAGTCGCTTGAGGCTGCGATCGTTTGTAGATTCCTCGATGAATGCAATTTCATCCGTTCGGGCGATTCATAATTTAGTTGCGCAAATCAGTAACGTTGTCATTAATGACGAGGTGCGAGTTTGCTATTGGAAAAAGAATCAGTATTCATTGAAGTAATTAATTCTGAGGAAGCAATTTTTAGGTGGCAGGTTGTGCAAATAAAGCAGTAAAACTAATTGTGAATGCCTTGAAAACAGCTAAGGAAACAGGTCGTATTGATGTGGCTACAACTATTGAAGGTCGAGCTCTGGCTGATAAAGCTGTTAACGACCATAGTCTTTTGGCACTGCTATACTTCCCAAATGACCAAAAGTTTGCCGTTTATCTTCCTTTGTTTTTACCTACGCTTTTGCCTATTTTCGGTTCGATTGTTGCCTTTTACAAGCATTGGAGGGAAAAGGACTAATTGCAGTTCCTTTGCTGGTTTCAAATTGAATATCACTGTTTTGTTTTTGTTCTTTTATGTAGTCTTTTTTTTTTCATCCCTCTGTGTGTTTTAGATCTCACCTTTTCTTTTTCCGGTTGAAATGTTGTGTTTAAGATTCTTGTTAACGTTGATATAGCTTTTCATCCTATTCTGCCATTCTTTTTCCTACTGGTTGCAGTTTCGATTCACTTTTTAGAAGATCTTTTGAATGTATCATATTTTTTTGTTAAACGTCTTCATTTTTTCATTGAAGTTTTAGAAACTTAAACTGAGTCACTTAACGTTTACCGGTAAAATGTGGGCGCATTGTAACAGCTTTATTCTTCCTTGGTACAATTAATGAAGTGTCAAGTTAAGATTTTTGTTTATTTACTTGTTAACTTTGCCTTTCTGCATTCGTACAAAACTTCGCCGTTGGCAAATGGTAACTGAGTAGTTTTCAAGTTTTCAAATCCACACTGCACCAGTAGTTCGCCGGCTCGTTTTTGTCCCCACATAGTGCCAAGACAGTACGCGTCTGAAATACTATTCGGAATAGTTTTTTATGGTTGGGTGCGAAGGCTCCTGGCGAGATGATATACCTCAAGTTTGTTCTAGTTATGAAATTTGTTACTCTAAAATGAAGTTCCTTGTCTAAGGGTTGGGGAGTGATTAGCTCTTGTTACGTTTTATTATTGCAAGCAAAAGGAAGGTCTGAGGTTTCAAGGGTTGGTAAAAAAAGTCCCTGAGGGTGTTTGAACTAAATGAATTGCACCTTCTGAATTGCTTCCCACTGGCAAACAATGGAACAAAGAAACACCATAACCGATAGTGGCGTTAACTTTATCCCAAATTTTATCCAGATGAGGGTTGCCCATACCGTTTGTTTCCACGATAGTTAACAAACCATCTCGTTTAAGCACTCGTCGGATGGCAGTCAAGCACTGTAAGAAGCTTCAATTCTAGCAACATTGATCAGAATTAAAGGTTAGTTACGTCTTCATTGTTGCTTATTTACACTAGAAGGAAGTTTGATGTTAGACTGTAAGAGCGGGTCAGGGGTTGAACTTTTGTTGTCATTATTAAAACTCTTAAGTTACAAGTGAAGAAACCTAAATGGGTTTCGGTTCAACCGCGGGCGGTCCCATGCTGAAGAGAACTTTTTGCATATGCTATGTGGATAATTTTGATGAATATTCAGAGAAGAAATTTTGTCTACAAGGTTTATAGGTGTAACAGAGTTTGTGCTGGATATCTGATATTATTTAATGTGACGCTCAAAATAATGTAAATTTTTTTAAACGTATGACTATCGTGGTCAGTAAGAAAAAACGCTGTTAGTTGAAAGGTTGTAAGTTTTTTAAAGTTTTAAGAGCGTTTCACATGGTCGTTGTTTTGCATTTTACTAGTACCAGTACGTTCACGTAAAAATGCTTCATGTCTTCAGTGTTTGTTCTGGGTAGAAAAATTAATAAAGTTTCTTTTTGCTTTTCTACTAATTTATTTTGTATGGCAGTAACTTTAAAGGTTTTGCTGAGCGCTGTTTACCTGGTCAGGTCTTGTGAAATCGTGACATGAATGTAGCATCACCACCCAATCGAACCTGTTGGCCCAACCACTCGGCAAATCACTGGCGTACATCTCCAAAAATTCAACATTTGTTAAGTTGTATTTCTTCTGGTTTGTCTTTGCGATTTCAATTGCCTGACCATCTGTGTCAACTCCAACAAACTGTGACAGATGAAAATTCTTGGCTAAATATAATTTCACTGATTCACAAATGGTTAGTAAAGTTTCTAGACACTCAGTTAAAAAGCTAGGAATCTGGGCTTTTGATTTTGTCCGATTTTTCACGTGAGTAAGGCTCCTTTAAATTTATATTTTAATGTCATCTTAAAGCTATAATTATCGATGAACTACGTTAACGAACAGAAGGAGATGAGTATTCTAAAATCAAGTTCAAAACAAAAAGTACTAGAATAAGCTACTACCAAATCTACCAAAACTAGTCATTGAATTCAGTCCATTCTTTGAAGTTAGTTGGAATTCTTACCAAGTTCAATTGTCTGATGCCCGTCACCACATTGAACAGTCAGAACCTTGATTGTTTCTCGCTTCAAGTGCTCTTCCATACCAGCAAACGGCAGTAAAGTGGAGGTTAACCGGTTTTTGTAACTGTTGTCTATGCATGAACCGGTACACGGATGATAATTTTTGTAGCGTTTATAACTAATGCCTAAAATTATTTTTGAAACCACCATCTTTATATTGCTATAAATGAACCATTAATTTAGCCATCTAATTGGTCTGATTAGATTTGGGGTAAATCTTTAGAGTAGTAACCCGCACGCACTATGTTTTTGTAGTGTCATGAGTGGTTGTCGCCAAAACAATTATTTCTTATCGATAGTTTATAAGATAGCAGCACTTACTGTTGAACTAGCGGCTTCAGTTGCAACACTTACCTCGTGGTCCTTCATCCTGGAAGACTTTCCGGAGATCTTCATAAATGTATGGGAACTGGGTAATCATTTTTAGAATTTCCAGACTATGTGGAAGCGGTGTAGTTGTGAGGAAATCAGCATTATTTTTGGTTATCCAAAAGGTGTCACCAGTACTGTTCATTTCGATAATGTCTCCGCACGCTAAGCAAGCGAGCAATTCACGTACATATCTTAATAAGCAGCTAAATGAATCTATTACTTGCACAAGCTTAAACGTTGGTTCAATTATTTACAGACCTATGCTTGTAACCACACTTTTTAGCTATAACTTCGCTGGTTGCCGGTTTTTTATCGATGGTACATTCGGCAAGTGCCTTGAAGATGCCTAGTTGGTCTGCTAGGATCACTGCTTGCCCAAGAAGAGTGTGCTCTATAACTTTCTGCAAATTCTCTGTTTAAAACCTTTTTTGAATAATTCTGTTCCACTTTATCCTTTTTTTGCAAACAACTGATAAAGAGAAAGTGATTTTTAAAAAGTTAGTGGAGCAATTTAGAATGGCTATTTATTAAACAATCAATTGATATTACCTTGATCTTGATGCTCACGTTCATCATAATTTACTATTTTATTTTTTTCCGCCTGTTGTCTTAGAATGTAGTGAATAAATTGGCGTACCTGAAAGCATAATAATGCTTTTTGCCGTTTTTAAGCGAGGTCAAAAAGAATAAGTTTTCAGCTACCTGCGTAATTGAAATATCAACGACAAATTTGTAGCGGCCGGGAAGTAAACGGCGGCTCTGAAGTAAGATTAGGATGAAGGATATAAACAATTGATAGGGGCAAAAAGGAGAATGAAAGCTAATCGCTGACTTGTGAAAGCAGGGGGAGCCAAAATCTTGCACGGCAGAAAAATTACCGATTCTCGGCAGAGCTATTATTTAATCATAACGGTGTTTTTCTCTTATTAATGAATAAAAAATTAGTTGTATTTCTCGAATGTATTAAATTCGTGCGATAAAATTCTGCTTATTTTTAAGCATAAAGTACGCCGATTTCTAAAACAATTTCTGTGGTACTACAATCACTCTTATGCAATTATAATTCCCATGTGGGTATTTTGTGTTTTATTAATGAATTAGGAAGTCACTAAATAGTGTAATGCTAGATTAACTTCCAAGATAATTGAAGCGCATATGTTGGACAATACCCTTGAATTTAGTTCGTGGGGTTCCTTCTACTGGGCTATTTGCCTTAAAAGTGTATACGGTTACAAAATTAATTTCAGTATTTTTTTTATTAATTCTGTAGACTGGAGTAGGCAAGTCGAGGCTTTTTTTATAAAGAAATGCTTCGCTTTCTCCGTAGGAAGCCTGTAATGGTTTGGCGGATTGTTACACTTGCTAGACGGTATTAGAGATTTAGAAGCACTCTGATAGATGAATGAATAGGAAACAACTTGGTGAGTATTGCACGAAGAAAAAAATTAAAATAAGTTGTTTAAATACAATTTTTCATCGTCAGATTTTTGAAACATTGATTTTTTTCTATTCTATGGTCACTGACTGGAGAAAGTACATGATAGTAGTTGAACACTTAATGTCAATGCGAATTATAACTGCTTCCGCAGATTATCATAAAAATGAAAAACAAATTTGGGCAAGAAGGAGAGGAGTACTGCGTTAGTTAACGGCTGTTTTTTTTTTTTTACTTTTGACTGGTCAGAACAAAATAATTGCATAAATATGATACCTTGTCTTTCACTATCAAAGTGGTTGTAAAAATCACTTCTAGCATCTGTGAAGCTTATTCTGGAAGGTAAACAGCTGCAGAGAATCATCACTGCACGTACATCATCGCATAGAATAGCTGTCATTAAGCGAAAGACCAATAACTTACCGTATATCTACAAAAATTTGTAAAGTAATCTTTGAAACTTATTATACAAACCTGATCAAGTAAGTGGTTTGAAATAACTAAATGTAAGTATATTATGTTCGATGATTCTGTGCCATCGTTTTGATGACGCGCATACTGATTTCTTAAAATAACATCAGGAATGCATGTGAAAACAAGCGTTTTACTGATGTCTAAAAGTGACAGAAGTCTTTTTGCTCGTGCCTGTTCTCTTCAAATTTCTTCACACATCAACAATACCAGTCAAATCAATTGCACTCTTCTGTCTTCCTTTCGTATTTTCTGGCCATAACTAATGCTTTTCGAAAAGCAGTGTTTATTGGTTATAGCTGATGAAGATACAACAGTGCTTCCAAAACCTATTTATTATTAATTAAGGATCGATCTGCCTTTTTAAGAACTGATTATTGTTGCATAATACATAGCAGCAAAACATCTCTCTCTTAAAAAGTGAAAATATCCAATAATCATAGCGTTATTTAGTAGATACATATAGGACGTGATCTTGAGCATCCAGTTTCAAGACTTTTTTAACCTTCAAACCGCTACTTTCCAACAACTCCACAGCCTTCCTTCGTCCCCATTTGGAACCCAAACATAAGGCATCTGAAAATATCAGCAGCTCTAATACACCAGTACTTCGCCGATAACATGTGATGTTGACCTTCTGCAAAGCGATTACCTTCAGTGTTGCATGAGCATGGTAAGCAGACAAACGTTGAGAAAAGATATGAAACCATAGCTTTTTTGCCGTCTTGTTTTTTATCCGAATAAATGTTACCAGTACCGTCGATGTCAACCATTGTGAAAATTCCATCGTCTTTTAGAGCTCGGCGAATTTCTTTAAAGCCCTGTCGAGCAAATTGGAAAAACTCTACTGAGTACTTAGAAAAAGACAATTAAACCGATCTTTCAGCATCATTACCAAAAGCTTTTCTTTGTTTACAGAATTTACTTTTCAAAAAACAGTTTCCAAATAATCTATTCCTTTTACAGAAAGCTCTGAATCAATAGCCATTATAGCGATTTCAAACAACTTGGTACCTTTCAGAAGAACGATGCTGTCAAAAGCTAAAGAGAAAAAAAAATTGCGATTTAAATATTTATCAAAGAGCAGCCATACATAACGCTGTTACTGTTTGCTTTTAAACCTTGTTGAAAGTCTGACTGGTAAGAAGAAAACCAAAATAAAAGATCATGGTTCAAATTTGAAGAAAGGTTTGGCAAAAAAATACCAAGTCCGGACGGGGCTGATCGTGAGCGCAGTCAAACATCATTATCCAGTCAAATCGACCTGTCCAATCACTCGGTAGTTTTTGATCATCCATCGTTATGAACTCAACATTAGTTAAATTTTTTTCCATTTTCCGCTTATTCGCTTCCTCAATTGCCTCTCTGCTTAAGTCAATACCAGTGAACTTGACCTGTGGAAGAGCTTTCGCTAAAACAGATTAAGGTTAGATTTCTAAAAGACCTGTAGCTTTTGCGGACAACAACTAATAATTTATTCGCATAAAATTTCTTTTAAAGCTGACTAAACGAACTAAGTGTTTCTGCTAAAATTAGAATTATTCATTTATGCGCCTCAAAGTTTTCATAAACGACTAAGTTAATAATCACAGAAGGTTTCAAGATGATATCCGTTTCCACAGCAAACATCGATAGCTTCTATAGTGCCAGTTTTTAGTTTTTTCTCATACCCAGTATCCGCTAAAAATTTGTCAGCGTAACCGGTACCCCAAGTTCCTTTAGTAAACATTTCGATGTATTTTTGTAGTCCTTTATAATCATTCCAGTCCGCTCCTGAACATAGCTATTTCCGTAAATCTCAAAGTTTAAAGAAAACAGTTTTTATAGTAAAGTTATGAGAAAGAAATAAGCCGATACGAACCTTTTGGACCATCTTTCTTAAAAATATTTTCGATATTTTCTGCCATGCCAGCATAAATTCTAATCACATTCATTTCTGGCAACATGAACGTTGCATTAGGACCACTGAGCACATCACGATATTCAGGTTTCAACCAAAAGCGCTCACCGCTTTCATCGGTCTCAACGAAGCCTCCACAAGAAACAGCACCAAGCCATTCTCTGACGTATCTGAAAACCACTTCTTTTTAAGCATTCTGGCAAGCATCGATCACACCCAATAATGTATTTCACTAGTGGTTTTTTAAAGAACTTGAAAATTTCTTTATTATTACGTAGCTTATAACTTATCTTGCTTCTCAATTAATCCAAAATAAAAACTAGTGAAAATTTTTTTAATTGAAATAAGAAATGTAAACTTCACCGTTTTCTTGGAGGCAAACAAGCAGGGACTAATATGTCGTTTTCAAAACTATTGAAGTTTGAGAAGAAAACAGTAAAATAAAAATAAAAAAACTGAGCCAATTTATAAACAGGAAACAGTGATAAGTTAAGCCCCACTCAACTTGCACATTCTCTTTTCCCTCCCAGCTTTACAATTGTAAGTAACTCGTCAGAACCGTCCGGCAGTCGTTTTCACAATTACTTTTGGTAGTAAATAGACAATAAGCAACAAGATAAACTGTTATTATTGCAAAAAACTATTCACCTTTCTTTTAAACCAGCCCTGTTTGCTATCATAGCAGCAGTTGCTGGTGATTCCGGCGTAGATACATCACCAATAGCATCAAAAATTTTCAGATTACTTCCAAGAGACAAAGCCAAACTGAGAAACGCATAAGAAAATATATTCTGAAATAAGTGTTGTCAGCCAAAAATAATTCATGTACACCTTTCATGCGTACTGTAAAAACAGTATGTCCTAAAAATTTCAAGTGGCTTACCTAATTACTCTCTTTTTTGCTACAGCAACCTTAAGTGGTTACGAAACCGAAAATGAGAACTTTTGCATAAACAGGCTTTAAAAAAAAGGAAAAATCAAAATATTGAGACAACAATAAACAGTTCTTGCAATAATAATTCTTCAAAATCTCTTAGTATTTGTTGATAGCTGTTAAGTAGAAAAGGTAAGTTATGTGTC